TCGCGATTAGCCCTGGTATAGATGCAGATGAACAGAAGATGTAAACGTATGTACGTAAGGTGTGTGTTGTGTGTGTGTCGTGTGTGTTGAGGTGTGTGTTGTGTGTGTGTTGAGGTGTGTTGTGTGTGTGTGTGTGTGCGTGCGTGCGTGCGTGCGTGCGTGCGTGCGTGCGTGCGTGCGTGCGTGCGTGTGTGTGTTTGTGTGTGGTCAAGTGAGGCAGTGGAGCGCTGAAGTGTGGAGAGCCACAACAGCCTCGGGGTTGGACAGTGGTGGGAAATTACGAATGCTCTAGATGGCTGGAAGGCAAGACCATAAAGTAGGAGGAAATCAAACAGATAAAGGATAAGGAAAGGTATCTGGTGTTATCGAAAATGTGCAACATTCTCTAATTACACATTTTACTACCACCTTTTGGTTATTCTGCAGCTATCATGTTTTTTTTTGCTTCACATTTTTAGTCCATGCTTCAAAGAGGACCTTATTAACTTTAGGAAATGTTAACTGATTATTACCTGACATCCTTACGGGGCCATTCATTCCCAGAACTACAGCATACAACAGGGGATGGTTCTTTTAACAGGGGGTACGTGAACCCTATGTGGTCCTCACAGTTACTGCAGGGAGGTCACCAATTATTGGCAGATAATACTTTGAATTATTTTTTTGCTTTTAGAGACTAGAATGTCTGAAAAAACTAATTGGACCACCTTACTTGACAAGAGTGTATGTCTCAAAGCCATTGGGAAGGACACAATGTTTTGTGTCGAAAACTACATTTAAAGGAACGTTAACATGTTATTCAGATTTTGTTGTTGTTGTTGGATAAAGATAGTTTTATACTAGCGAACCAACACCAAACACGCAGAGACGCAAATAAATGACTTTACATAGTACAATAACATCCCCAGACAAACAGTCAATGTAAGGTCATATTCATTTTGATGACATTTGCCGCTTCCACATCAAGTACTTTGCCGTACTTAGTCCCGCCAAACTCTTTAGTCCCGTAACTGTCCTAGTAAATCGCGTTCACACCGGAATAAGTCCCTGAGGGTGGATTAGGCAAATGAAGCCACTGACGTCACTTCTTCTTCTTCATCTTTAGGTTTACTAGCAGGCCGCAAACAACTTCACGGCGTATACTGCCACCCGAAGTCCCGGAGTCCCCCGGAGTCCGGGACTTTGGGTGGCAGTAAATCGCCACCCGAAGCCCCGGGTAAATCGCCAGAAGCGCCGACACCTCCTCATCACTCCACCGATCCCACGTTTTATTTTGTGTTGCTTTAAGTTAGTCTCTCCGTTGGTGCGCTGGGATAATGCTAATGATAATAATGCTAATAAAGCAAATAAAATGGCGGCGTTTTACGGGGCATGGTCTACAATTCACCCAGACAATCAGAAATTGGAACATTTTTCTCCCCAGGAAAGTCCCTGCTCTCTAGCGGGGACTAAAAATGGGGTAAAAAGGTTCGCAAAAAAAAGTTCTAGTTCCAGATCTTTTTGGTGTGAATGCGAAATCCCAGGAAAGTACTCCGGTGTGAAAGCGCCTATAGATTTGAGGTATTTTTAGTGTGTGTTCCTTGGAAAAAACAGTGTGCTTGTATGTAGTTTACCTTCTCGTCAGGTATACAGTGGCGGACATTCTCCAGGTAGGCGCTGATGTTCTCCACATTGGTGAAGCGAAGCAGGATTTTGGCAAAGTCTTCTTCACTGATGGTGGTCATTCCTTTAGAGTAAGTCAGAAACTCAATTTCCAACATTTCTGTTTGGAGGTTATCCATAAACCTGAAAAACAGCCAGGACAGGAAAGGAGGAGAAATACATTTTACCTTAAGCTTTATCAAAAGAAACATGTTGCTATTTTGTGAATTTGTACCTGTAGAAGTCATCAAATGTAAGCTCTGCCTTCCCTTTCTTCCCAAAGAAATGGACCAATAGCGTGGTGTCGATTGTGATACTCTCATCTGCTCGCTATGAATCATCAGAGAGGGAAAAGCGACAGAGAGGATCAATGAGTGACTGATCAATAAACATCAAGCAATGTGATTGGAGGAAAAGCAGTGGGCGGGTCAAGTCCATCATCATCAATCCAACATGGCAACCGTGGTGCCAGGCTAGCAGGAAGCATCAACAACAAACTGTCAATCAAACGATCAGCTCAGACAAACAGTCAGCGGCCATCATGACATCAAACCTGTCTAGGCAGCAACTATGTTTAGGTTAAACCTCTTAAATGCGATGAGTATTGTAATAAATAACAGGCAGGTTCAGAATAATCCCACAATGATGGCAAAATGAAACTTAGATGAAACACTTTAAAGCTTTCAATATAATTAAGTAAGTGAGGAGAACAATTGACAAAATGGGGGTAATAAGGTAAAATGGACAGAAATGTTTTTGTCCATTTTACTATTTGCGTTCTACAAATCAATACTATCTTTATCATTTGTTTTTGATAACAAAGAAAGGATATTAAATGAGAGGTATGGAGATATTTTTTTAATTTCATGCTGCCTAGACTGGTGAAGAGAGTTGCTGTAGCAGCATGAAACACAGACATCTTCTGGTCTGGTGAAAACACAAGGAGGGTTCGGACAGCAGAACACAAAGAGACACAATGAAAAACAGAGTCATGCAAATATTCATCGAGCCGGGAGCTGTTGAACAAGAAAGTATAAGAAGGAGACACGAGCTGGAGAGTGTAGTCAATTGAAACTTCAGAAGTGAGAGAAAGAGAGATGGACAACTAATGGCGAGACATACAGACACACATAACGACATGCACTTCTCTGAATGCCACATTGACACTCATACACAATTTTGAATCAACAAGAGCAGCACGCAACAAACACACATAAGCACAAATGCAGAGAACAAAGCCGATCCCACCTTTTTCCGTCAACAGACGAGAATTATAGTTATAGTTATATTTTCAACCTTTTGTTTTCCTTTTTATATTTTGACTCTGGTAACATATTCTTTAATTTAATACTTTGACTGTCTGGCTTCCCTCCACAGTTTGCAAGCATGTTTAAATGATTGATCCGGGTAATTTGAAACACATTTTACAGGCTTTGCTATAATTTGTTGCTGAACTTTTTCTAAATCCCTTACAGAAACAGGGTGAGTTTTATAAGGCTTCAAGGAAACTGTGCTAAGTATGTACTTCATGTCAATGCTCCCTTACACATGTATCTCAGAAAAAGGTGACTGTGCTTTAGCGCAGTTCCAGAAAAGACTCAGCCAGCTTCAGTGCTTAAAGAGAGGATGTCAAACGGTCATCTTTATTCTCTCTATCTGCCATGCCCCCCCCAGCCAACCCCCTCTGTCCAATCCACGGCCATGCTGAGCTATATGCAGACATATCAAGTCCTTCTAAAGTGGAAAAGCATTTCCATCATCAAGATATTGATCATCATCACAACCACAATGCCATTTGTGGTTCTACCTCAAGAGTAAAATCCTAAAATCCGACGTGGGACAAGAAGAAAATGTCACACAAAATCACACAGGTTTACAAACTATAAAGATTCACATCTCTGACAGATGTTGAATCTGTTAAGTTGTTTGTAGCGTTGTTAAATGTATATTCATTCTGTCAATAATTAGCACGTGATCAGAACAGAGTTGGTGGGGAAATGATGGAGAAAGTAACAATCCAAAGACAAATTACAAGGAAATCAGAAGCATATTTTTCTATTTCAAGAATGAGACAGATGACACCCACTTACAGCCACCAAACGACACTATTAATAATCTAGTATTGTGAGATGTAACAGATTATGGACTAACCAAATTTGAATGGACATACACTGTAGTCACATAACTCATAAATATGTCTTCTCTGAAACAAACATTTAAAGTAAACCCTCTTTTAGGGCCACAAACATTTGTGTGACTCGTCTGTTTCTGATTCACATTGCAGTCTGGTCTCAGTCTTTGATTAGGAAGTGTTCTTGATATAAACACAGACAAACGGACCTCCTATTTAAGTGTCTTGTTTTCGTTGTCTCACTTATTCCAAGGTCTTTTCTTTAAGTCTCTGATTACGGACAAATGGGGTAAAGTTTGATTTACTCTTTTATCTTGTGACTGACACATTACTGATGTCTCATGACACATGAGCAGTTCATACATCTAGACAGCATCCAGGTGCTGAGTCTCTGGTGAATTTTTTTTTCTCTTGGTCATTGGCATCTTTCTGAAATACAGCAAGAATACTAAGCTTTAAAAAATTCCAACCAATGTGAGGTTTTTTTAGTTGCTCTATTTTGTTTTTACAGAGTAAAGGTACAACACAAATGTGATGTTGAACCTTCGTATGATTATGTGTTAATGTTACTTTCCAGTTTGTTTGTTTCCCTGCAAGTATGTGTGTTGTGTTCGAAGTCCAACTAAGTCTGACCTCAGGTAAGACGTAATGCCAAACTGATCAAAACAAGCTTATCATTCCTGGAAGTGTGGCAGCAGCAGTGTGAGCTCATCATCCCCATGAAGACGCAATGGTTACCACGCCCACAAGGCACGAGCCAACACCTGGTGTGTCTATTTGTCCAAACCTCTGTGAGTGTGAGCGTTTCAACAGACTTTGATCATGGAGCTGAAGGTAAAAACAGTAATTACTGATGTAAACACTAAACGTTCTTCCTCACCCTCCCTATCTGTGAGGAATACCTTGGAGGAAGAGCTCATTGTCGCTCTTTAGTCAAGTCAGTTAGACTGTCAGTCACTCACACCTTACAGCAAACCCTCCCTCCCCCCTCCTGTTTTATCTCTCACCTTGTGTGTCTCCCCCCATCACTTCTTTCTCTTTTATCCTGCCTCTGCTCTGATTTCCTTTCTCCTCATGCTACCCGTCAGTACCTCCTTCACCTGACAAACATGAAGGTGATTCGCTCTTTCTTTCCCTCCCTCCTGCTCAGCCTGTCAGTCAGTTCCTCCTTCTCCAGACAAAAGCAAAGATCTATAATGGTGACTAATCTGATGAGTAAACACATCTCTCTCTAAATGCAACCTGCTTCTTTATTTTCCCCTTAAAGTGTTTCCCGAACTTCTTCTCTCCCCCACCCACTTTGTTCCTCACCATTTGACCTGTGTCATCTTCTCCCACCTGTTTGTTGTCTCCCTGATTGTATCTCTTCCCTTTTTTCTACCCCCCTCACTTATCTGATGTGGTGTTCTTAAAGATTTGTTACAGTTTTAAATGTTCTTTCACTTGTAATATTCCCTTTTTAGTTTTATATATTTGAATCACACTTTCAATGCCCCTGTTTCTCTTGCTTTTATTTTCCTCCCCCATAGTCTGATTCGTCTGTTCTGTCCGTCTGACATCCCGTCAGATGAAAGGCTGCTGGGTGTAAATACAAGGTCAGTCCCATTATGCTCCACTGTCATTATCTCCACCTCAGCTTCCGCTGCCACCAGAGCACATAGCCTGTCATTAGTCACTTAGCTTACTAGCACTGTTAGCTGTTATTTATCATTCCCAGTAGCTTCACCTTCTGTTAGGAAGACTATTTTAGTTTCACATGCACAAGCCATTGGCTTGCCACAATGGGACAGTCTGCTGACAGACAGCATTTTAAACAATGCAAAATGTTTTTGATTTTTAGTTTTGTTTGATTTCAACAGATCGTAGGCCATTCTAGTCTGTTTCAAGATGGCAATGGCAGTTTGTCTCGTCCACCTCTTTGGTTGACTAAAATATCTCATCGACTTTTAGATGGATTGCAATTCATTTTCGTACATATATTCATGTTACCCAGAGGATAAACCCAACTAACTGATTTGTACTCTACTGCCAGAGGTTGACATTTATTTTTTTCATAGTGAATTGTCTCTACTATTATTGGACGGATTGCCATGAGAAATCTTTAATTTTTCAAACACTTTGTTCACGATTAAATACCTGCAAGTTAATAACGTGTCCCTCACTGTACTTTGTGTTTAGTGCATTCTGACCCGCTACACATGGCATACTCTACTTAATGTAATATCAACAGTATTATTGTTTTTAGCATGTTAGCATGCTGACGTTTGCATTGAACTTAAAGGTCCACTTTGTTTACATACAGCCTAACAGATCTGCTGCATGGCTGTAGATAGTGGGTCTTCTTTTTCTAATTTTATCCAAAAAATGTTTTAATAAAAAAAATTTTAAATCTTGAATGTTGAAAGTAGATATATAGGGTTGTTTGAAAGCATTCCAAAAGCAACAGACCATTGTGTTTCCACCTCAGTGTGTGGTGCTATAACAATCCAGTTTTTGTTTCTGCTTTGCTGTCAGCCTTCTTATCATTTTAAAGTGTCTTAAACATGTTGTTGAGTAAACTCAGAATGACTAGACATCCAAGCTACAACACTAGCCACAATACAGCGCAGATAACAATGCACGGATACACATACAAAAGCATAACGAAGAGACCAAACGGCAATAGGCAGGTGAGAAACAGAACAGGTTATCAGAATACGCACATTACAACATCTATTATCGTACTACCATTATTGGATCAATACTGTCACACCAATACAGTAGGTACATCCTTAATAAACAATATTTTCCAAGAACAAATATTAAGAACTCAAATGTGTTCTTCAGTAACAAATGAGTGACACAAAGAAATGGGTGAGACACTTCAAATGTTTGGAGGAGCCTGGAGTTATTTTTACCCACAACTTTCTCTCAGCTGCAGATGAGATCACTTTAATGAACATATTATGTTCAGTGCAAGAAAGTCTAATAGAACTCATCCAAACAAAAATGATTTTATTTTTATTTTTTTATAAATGGAGGAATGACAGTATGTATCATACTTAGGGGTGTAAAACAGTATATAAAGATACTTAGAAATCTGAACTATATAGGAAGTAATGTTTATAGGTAAGACAGAATGAAAGAAGGATGAGAGTCTATGTAAATTATTGGTATCAAGCCAAACCAGAATAAGTGTTATTTTTTCCATATAAGTCCATATTGACAAACATGTTATTTTTATGGCAATGAGAACATGTCAATCAAAACATTAGTCATCTGCAAAAACGTTTAAGCATGATCGCAGTACAAAAGTTAAAAATAAAGGCCCTCAAAGCTTTTATTTTGAAAGAAAAAACGTCTAGTCTTATTCTGGTCAAGCCTGATGCAGCTACATAACTCTGGATCTATGGGGGGGTTGGAGGATCAACAATAACTACAGGGAACGAAGAGGAAGAGCGATGGATGAAGAATGGGGGGACAGAGGACAATAGGGTCAGTGTACCTCTGCCAGGTCAGAAAAAAGGACTTGACTTGCGCCTCGCCTCAGAACGTCCCAGTAACTCCGCGCCACAAACTCCTGACTGTCTTTTTTTAGCACCTGTAGGAGCGGTCAAGCAGGGCCAGGGTCAGTTCACCTACAACTCAACCACTTTATGAAGGAAACATCAGCTTCCAATATTAACTATAAAATCTCATATACAAACAGATAGATTGATTTATATGTTATCATTACATTACTTATACTGTACATATAGAGCATATTCATGAACAGTGTGTTAAACATCCTATTGAACTACCTTCTAAGGGAAACTTCATATTGTTCAGTTTTGACAAACCGGAGAGAACAAATAATAAACTAATAGTAAACTAACTAGTTCTAAGGTACTGGAAATGTTTTGCTAACTCTACATTGGTGAGTGCTGTTTATTAGAATAATCTGCAAAAAACAACTAGTGAAGAGGGAAAATGTGAATGTTTATAATAGTTGTTCTGTCATCACTACAGTTTACAGTAATGTTAGATTTAACAATAAATTCACCCTATCAACTGTGATAAGCACCAGGCATAGAAACCCCTGTAATTGTTTCAAACAAAATAGGAACGAAGGGATGGTCAAATTTAGGTTTATGTAATTAACCTCTAAAGCAAATACAAAATTCCCCGACCCAAAACATTTTCAGATGAGTCGTCTGAATATTTTGCTGTCCCAAACGCCACAAAAAAAGAGCTGCTGCCTATCTCAACGTGTCCTACTTTGATAAAAGTCGACCATGCTGCCTATCTCCTGACCACCCACCACGCCTGTCTCTCCAGGGACAACGCAGCAGCAGCCATTTTAACATGACCCTGCACTGCTCTTAACTTCACAGTGACAATGCAGCTATCAATCATGACACCGACAGAAGGAGGAGGAGTGTTTGTGTGTGTGTGTGTGTGTGTGTGTGTGTGTGTGTGTGTGTGTGTGTGTGTGTGTGTGTGTGTGTGTGTAAGAGACATAGAGAGAGAAAGAAAGAGTGCTTCTAGTCTGACAAGAGGCCAGTGGCTGGTAGTTTACAGTTACTGGACAGCACACATCCATTCTGACATTTTTGCTGCACTATACTACATCTGCATCAATACATTCTCATCACCCTTGGGCTTTAGCAAACATGTCCAGTGGTTATCATCATATCTCTCTGTTGCCTTGAAATGTCCTGCTCTATATGCGTGTTAACAAACCCCCAACAGAGACAGAAACATTGCCAAACAAACAGCGCACATCCCAAAACAGTCTGAAATGGACAGTGTCTGATTGTGTTTAAAGCTTTAGAGTGCCCTCAAGTCATTTTAAATCACATCACTCTCTTTTTGCTAGAGTTCATCTCTCCTGACCCCTTAAATCTATTACTCCTTCACTGCCATCCCCTCTCCATTCATCCCACCCTCTGCCATCGTCCCCCGATCAATCAGCCAGCTGACCTGACAGATGGACGCTCTTGAAGGAAGTCTCTCTCTATCCCGCTTATTCTTTCTTTTCATTCATCCTTTCAACTGTCTACTGTGTTCGTTTGACTGACAACAGAGGATCAGGTGGACCGGGTCAGGGTTAGGCGTTTTTCAAAGACCAGGTCAGGACACAAAAGTGGGTGACAGAGGCATTAAACCAAGTCCTCTAAGTATCCCAATATAATTGACATATACACCTTACAAACGTACCAAAGTCCCCGGAATGAAAGGGTGAAATTTACTTGACAATTTACTTGACACTCTATTTGACAGAGGCAGCAGTGCTTCCTCGCTGAGCTTTGGATGAGAAGGTCTATACCACTCTTGAGTTTGAATAGTAAATATGAAGCTAGAATCAGGTGACAGTTAGCTAAGCATAAAGAATGTAAGCGGGGGAAATAGCTAGCCTAGCTCGGTTTGAAGTTAAAAGAGAAGCCTACTGATAGGCGCATGGACTCTCTGCAGTATTTTTGTCACCGTAAGTTTGCCAGGCAACCAGAAGAGAGGTCCCAAGAAATAGTCTTAAGCACAATCCCCTATTAAAACCACAACATACAGTGCACATAGGTGTAATTACAGGTGTTGGTAGGCCGATTCCAGTACCTGAAATGTTTCATTGGACTAGGCTAGCTGTTTCCCCCTAGCTTGCTTCCAGTCTTAACGCTTAGCTAAGCTAACAGGCAGTTTGCTTTAGCCATATCATTTATAGATTTAAGAGTGGTATTGATCTGCTGACCTCACTATTGGCAAAAAAGTGCAAAAAAGCGCAAAAAAATATTAATTATTTACGTAATTATTCACAATATTGCAAATTAGGATGATTGATTGAGACATTTTACCCAAAAATAAGGTCAAAGAAATTATAAATGTTTTGATTAGTAAGATGTTATGCAGAAAACATATGTCCAACATGACAACTTATTATTTTATCACCACAATGTTTAAGTCCCATATGTGGTTTATTTAAATTTTAAAAAGATTACGTTTTCTGCCTTCTTTAACAAATGAAACAAAGTATTATGTTGCAATTTAGCTGACAGAAACAGCTAGCTGCCTGTTCCTCTGTTTATCCTTCCATCCATTTCTTAAACCATCAAAAGACGAGCAGAAGAGAGACTAAGGGGTTATGGTTTTGGATACATACGCTGTTCATGGGGGCAACCTGATATCCATAGAGCTGCATACTCTAGCACACAGAGAGACACGAGAAAGAGGAGCACAGAGCATGCAGCCAGAGAGGAGGAGGGAGGAAGAGAGAAGGTAAAATACATGTTAGTACATGCAGAGAGGCTGTGGATACGCTCTTCAGAGGGATGTGTCATTTTCAACACATCCGTGATCACATTTTAGAACAACACACACTTTGCATTACAACACTGTTTCAAGCCCATCCAACACTTGGTTTGGGAATAAAATACAATATATATTTGTACAGTTACTGTAATAAAAAAAAATTATTATTCCATAGGTCGGCAACCTTGAGAGCCTTGAAAGGTGCCAATATAAATAAAATGTATTATTGTTATTATTATATTTGGGTTGGCAGATATTTAACATTTCTGTACAAAAGTAGCACTTTTAAAACAGCAGCACTATTATATTTTTGTATTTAGATGTATAGCACATATTTTTTATAGTATTTTATATATTCTGTACAGTTGTTTATTACTCTTTTGTATATATACATATATATACAGTATATATATATATATATGTTCCTTGTACATTTTCTGGTAGTATTTGCGTCAAGTTTTATTGTATTCCACTTTTCCATTCCGCATTTTTACTATACACAATACTTTGTTTTAATAATATATGTGGTTAATTATTATTGAAGCCTCTCACAATGTTAATGTTATGCACCAATACACATTAATTGTATGTGAAAACCTTCTTGGCAATAAACTAGATTGGATATTCTGATATTGGCGTGTCTAGATATTAGCTGACATATTGTCATTTGGCTCTAATTCAGCATGAAGGTTTTCAAGCCTGCAGCTATAATGATAAAAAAAAACATTGTTCAGTGTAGTAAACCATAGTGACATCTGTTGTTCAAAAACAATCACAGAAGTGTCAAAAAAGACATATTCTTTTAAGAGTGTATCCCATATAACAAGTTCACAGTAAAACAGAGGAGATACCACACTGTCAAGACAGTCTCTTTAAGGGAGCATGCACTCAAACATGATTACATGAAGGGTTTATCTAACTGTAATACTTGCTTAAATATAGATGACAACAAACTTGGATGATGATCTGTCATTTTCAATACATCCATAAGACACAGCATTTGTTTTACACCTTAAGAAACCGAGAGGTGATGGATGCATTCAAATGCCATTTTAAAAGGGAAGGAACTTTACAGTAATGTGTCATTTTTATATTTTAACTGGTACATTAACCAAAAGTTAAATAGCAGCATCACTGATGTCCATAGTATTAATGTTTTCTTCACAATTGGAGCGATTAGTGAAATAAGTGTACCTACCTCTCCTCACACACAAACACACACTTGTCCCAGTTTACCAACTTTCTTACCAGCTGTGCCGACTTCTCCGCATCTCCTTTCCTCCCTCTTTTTTCATTTTTTTTCCGGAAGATCTCCTGAAGCTATAATGAGAGAAAGCTCTGTTTGAAGCTTTGAAATTATCATATGCACACAAATTCAATGAGTGCACAGGGTGAAGTTAAATTATTGTTTTGAAACTGGTCTATGATATGATTCAAGTATGGGCCTTTTGACAACTTGATTAAGAGATTGTTTGTCTCTAGTTTGACATTTAAAGGGATTTATGGTCACATATTGTATATTCAAAGTTGAATCAATACTGAAAAGCTTGATGCAGAGAACTTCAGTTGTCTTACTAGTAATAGTTAATTCATCACTATTCCCTTTGATTGACTACAGATGTCAATTTTCAGCAGAAAGATCAGAGCTTATCACCAAACACACATTTTTTAAGGTATACTCCCACAAGATCATCAGCCATTACCATCCCACTCCCAGCAGCCTCCACAGGGATTATGATCACTTCCTGCCTGCAGCAGTGTTTTCAGTTGAAAATCTGTTGGTCCAGTCCCACAGGGAAAGTGAGACACATGCAGCCATCTAGGTTTTATTCTAAAGAAATGATTTTACTCAAATGCTCTATAGATTATCCATTGAAAAGTAAAATGGAAATCAGCTTTTAAATGCTGTGAGTGTAACAAATAGCTTCAGGCCTTTGGGATTCAAGGTTCATAAAAACATGAATCGTCCATCCCTGTTTCACTTCACACTTATTCTAAATATCTATGGTATCATAGCATTGCCCATCTGTGTCAGGAGTGATGTTAAAAATAACATTGATTCAGTCATTGGGTGGATTTTCTCCCAGTATCAGAGACTCACCACCAAGAACTCCCTCTTGTCCACCATCTGGTTGCCGTCTGCATCAAACATATTGAAAGCAATCTTAAAGCCAGCATGGGGCTCTGGAGAACAGAAAGGAGAGAACATAGGGTGAGGGTGAGGGTGTGTGTGTGTGTGTGTGTGTGTGTGTGTGTGTGTGTGTGTGTGTGTGTGTGTGTGTGTGTGTGTGTGTGTGTGTGTGTGTGTGTGTGTGTGTTTGTGTGTGTGTGTGTGTGTGTGTGTGTGTGTGTGTGTGTGTGTGTGTGTGTGTGTGTGCGAGAGAGAGAGTATGTGTNCTGGAAAGAGCCAATAGAGCGAAATGAGGCATGGCTAAAATGCAGGATCTGTTTGGTATTTTGAAAAAAAAACTATATTTATATACTTTATATAGGTATGGCCCTAGAATATATTGTTCAAATATAGCATGATATGTCCCCTTTAAAGTACCAAAAGTAAAAGTACTCGCTATGCAGATTGGCCCATTTCAGAATAATATAAGATATGTTTTGATTATAATTACTGATGCATTAAAGTGTTATTGAAGCTGGAATAGGAGCAGCTAGTTTGAATGACCTTGTACAGTATACTGCAGGGTAGATTGTGAATGTTACTCCAAGTGTAACTAAAGTCCTTTAAAGGAGTTTTGTGTATGTTTGTGTGTAGTGGAGTAAAAGTACACTATTAACCTCTGAATGGTAGTCGGGTAGAAGTACAAAGTATAGCAAAACAGTACAATTCTGAAATTGTACTTAAAGGTGGGGTATGTCATTTTGGAAAACCCAGCTTGAGTGCGCTACAATTTGAAAGTACACAACTGGAAAAAATCTGCCACTTCCTTCAGACTTCTTTACAGAGCCCCTCCTCCAACACACAAGAACGCGCACATGACCAATGAGGGCACGAGATAAGTTTGTGCACAGATGGAAGGCTGACAGGCAGGTAGGCCATCCACTTATTTTAGCCGGGCCGGCTCAAATGCTTTTTAAAGCGCCACGGCTTCCACAGATGAACATTTGTTATGTATTTATTGTCAAAGCATTTAACATATTCATTGCTATCGGGATGTTAAGAGCATTCCATGGAATATAACAAAAAGTGTTTCTGAAATAAATTACATACCCCACCTTTAAGTACAGTAAATGTACTTAGTTATTTTTACACCATTGGCCTTGAATGCAAGATGTTGCGTAACATCCCCACCGTGTTGTCATTTCAGCACCAGCTCAATCGGAGAGCGACATTTCCACATATGCGCACGCACATCATCCTGCAGCCAAAACAGTGATCGAGCTTTTTCCACTGGGCGTGGGAACAAATTACTCCGTTTATCCGTCCGAGAGGAAAAACTATGACTACAAAAAACAAGTAGGCTCGTCTCACTGAGCCGACTTTGGTCTGAAGAAGATGTGAAGCTCTCTGCCGTCTCTCTCAGTGGTCTGTCGTTTTTACCCCACAGCCCTTCATACCGAGGCCCCCTATGTCAACACTGAAGTCAACACATTTCCTGCCACTGACTTTCCTGTCTACGTGTCTCTAAAGCCTGCTGTTTCCGTACAAAATATCGGCCTCCTACCTTCTCCTTCGCAATAACGGTCGGGATGGACGGCAGCAGACCGTTGTTTTCGTGACTCCCCATCCTCTTCCTCCCTCTGCCGCTCCACGTATCGTTGTAAAAGTAAGCCGCCACGGCACCTCCCGTTGCGAGACACATCCCGACAGCCAGACATTTCCGTGTCCTTCCTCCACTGGCCGTCTGACCGCCGAGGAGCTCGGTTCTCGCCGCCGTCCTGAGGTTTAGCTTACCGGCCAGTGCTGCCACTCTGCGGAAAGCGGCCATTGTTGCTTTTGTTGCTACTGCTGCTGCTGCTGCTGTCGCTGTGCTGCTGCTGTGATACAACTTTGCAGGCAGCACAAAGTATCACTTTTCATCGCGAGATGTGCGGACACTGTTGATGCTGAGGCTGAGAGCTTAGTCCCTCGGGAGGATTTGATGCTTCACTGAATGAGAGTGGGTGATTAAATTTAAACCGCGATCAATGATAAACAAGATTCAGTCATAAACAAGTCAATATACTAAGATTGCATTGAATTTAAAATTACATGAGACTGGATTCGTTAAAACAAAACTGATATTAAAATAGGCCTACTTTAAAGTAGACACATCAAATCTCAAAGTGGGGGCTACCCTAATTCATGAACTTTATATCATATTTTACAGTCCTGTTATCAATAGCAGCGCTGACTTTGTTAGACCAATAAAGTTATTCTGATTCTGATTATAAGTATGTTCTAAATCAATGTGTTGTGTAAATTCGTAATCAGCAAAACAACATGTGTATGGTTGTCAGATAAATGTATTGGAGTAAAATAGATACTCATCAAACGTGCGAAAGTAGAAGTAAAGTACCCAAACATCTTGAAAAAAAAAAAAGAACTAGAGCTCAAATATAACCCTAACTCTAAATCTTGGAATAAACTTGAAAAACATCTTGGTTTTCACAGGGGAATTTCTAAGTGACCAATGATATATACATTTGTCACTCTGCACTTTCCATTGAGGATTAGTGGGGTATCACATTTCTAGTGGGAAGTTTAAGATCAAAGTAGCCAATGGAGAGAAGATATCAAACAGATATCAAAGATGAACTCTTCATTTAAGTCTTTACATGTTAGACCTATGTTAACCTGATGGGGCTTTTTCTTTACCTTTGATGCTGAGAGAATAAAGGCGAGAAGTCTAATAGATGTGCCTGTCACCTGTTCTCACATGAAGCACCGAGGATCACTCCTATGAGCTCCATTTAGCCAAAAGTTGAAAACAGATCAAACAATGACTATCAAAACCGCTTAATATAACTCTTGAAGGGGTTTGATATAGCTAATAAGCCCTTAATTTGTCCCTTTAATATCACAATCCAAACAAGTTTTTGCCGATCACGGTGACTAATAATACTCACCTAATTTGTTATCATCGAGATGGAAATGCTAAATAATTCATGCAAACATAATATCTGTACAAAAAAAATCATTGGATGTTGAATGCCCACAAGTTTGACATGTCATTTAAGGTGGTCCGCCAGGTGTTTAATATTGACTGTTGCATAACATCTCTCAATTCAAGTATTTACATTGCCCCAAGCAATAGCACACTATGTGTTGTATCCCAATAGCCAACCAGTTTGTCCAATAAAGTTAAAACATTCATTGTTGTGGTTTATTTATATTTGAACGAGACCTATCTAAATGTTGAGAGAAAAATAATCTGAGTTTATGCCTATTTCTAAGTGACATACATAAATAGTGATGGAATTAAACATGTCTACATTTTCATAAGGACCTTTTCAATCTTGCTTTAAATGAGGACCTCTGGAGTTCCCTAGACCAATGTTTGGGAACCACTTGCATTAATAACCTCTAGGCTACTTATTTAGTTATTCCGTTATCCAGGCATTCGATTAGGTTGTAATTTATTTTTGTGTGTATGTGTGTGTGGGTGGGTGATGGGGGTATAACCCTAGGGCCCTCCTCCTCGTCTCCATTGACTGCTTTGGCTACATAGTGCTTCACTCTCAGTCCTACAAACAAGGCAGTAAACCAACATGACAATTATTTTAAAGTAAACCATGTGACCCTGGGAACTGTTTACTTGCACCTTGTGTGTGGAAATGTGGCATTGCAGTTGACATCTTCATTGTGGCCAGGTCAATATCCAATACATCAGGATCTGATCAGCCTGGAGGCGATACCGATCGATCGAGTCCCCTTTTAAAAATTGTTTTAATAAAAAGTCATAAATAATAATGAAGCGAGGGAAAGAGGGAGGAGTAGGTACGCATGTCACGCGCAAACACTGTTTGTCTGCCTTATACACTGTTGTACGCAACCAATGTAATGTATGTACAAGCACGGCAGTATAAGAATAACTTATAAGATTAAAAGCACATGCAATTGTCCCACCTCTTCCTGTCATGCTTTGCTGGACAAATCGACACTAATACAAAATGACCTGCGTAGCGACCACACGCGCGCACAAAAACACCTCTGCACCTTCAACTCATTTATCAACACAACTCCCAAGGGAAGGGGCAGCTGTGTGCGCGAGCGCGTGTCTCCATAGCTGCCGAAATCAATGCCATAAAGGCTCGAACATGGCCCTTGTGCTTGGATAAACCTCAGTCTTAAATTAAACATGCACCCCAAGCAACACAGATCTGAACAAATGATATGGCATGAATGAAGAAAGGAGGTCAGGTTTTCTTTCAAAAGGCTACAGGTCAACCATTAATCTATTGGCTTAATATTTTGGTCTCAAACAAAATACTCCATGTAAATGTGCATAAATGTAGGCAATACCATAATTCTTTCTGCAAATGAAGCATCATTGAAATTAAAATCTTTGGTCTGCAATTAGTTCGTTTTATTTTTATTTTGGCAGAACGTGACCAATACCTGACGGCAGTTGTCTCGTTAAATATGGCCGACGCAATACGACCAAACGTTTGATTAATAAAACAGATGTTTATAACTGCACATTTACATAAAGAATTACCAGCTTCTGAAGCCCTTCAAGTGTCAAGTCAAGTGTCGGGGTATTATCTGAGCTCGCAGTTCAAACAGGTATATTCCCCTCTTCTGGTTGTTATTGCCTGATCCCCTTACAAGATCCCTGCACTTTGAAGCCTCAGTGTCTTTGATTCGTCTTTTTAAGACCACAATTAAGGCTATGGGCTCCTGCGCTGTTCAAAGCCCAGTGGAAAGATCAATGAAGGGATTGACAGTCAAGTGATGTCGTTTGCACAGGTGTGTGTGTGTGTGTGGGATCATGTGTACGATTGTGTGTCAGTGTTTGTGTCTGTGCGGGCGCTGTAAACGTGCGACTGGGTTACATAAAACGGGGGCAATAAATCAACAGTAGAGTGCGAAAATTACGCAAATGGGGGCTTTCCTCTGTCTGTCTCTCCCGCTGCACCTGAGTCATTTCGAAACGGGGGCGTGGAGTTGTAAAACGTTTAGGATAATGGCAATATCACTTTCATGCTGTTTGACACACTCTCTCTATGTCCATTTCACACACGCACACTCACACAAACACTTAAATGTGCAACTGC